TGACGAGGTATTTCTGCTCGGTCATGTACAGCGCCTTCTCAAAGAACCGCGACGCCGTGTGAGTGCTCCAGAGTGTGCATACACTAGCCAGCAAGAAGCCGGCAATGCCCAAATCCTTGACCGACACCACGATGTTGATCGCTGCCAGGCCGATGATCGGCAACAGGCAGTAGCCAAGCACCGAGCACACGCGGTAGATGTCGATAGTCCGCTCGGGCGACAGTAAGTTCATCAGCAAGTACATGAAGAGACACGACAGCACTCCGAAGCCGTAAATGTATCCAAAATGAACCTTAGCAGCCTACAAGAGACAATAAAAAATAATAATAAGTTCAAAGCCGCAGCAAATACTAGTAAGAAAAGTTAGCGTACCAGTAGCAGACAAACGCCGAAGAGGAAGCAGAAGACGAGCGGTCCTGCCAGATCCGCGTCGTCTAGAATGTGCTCATTAATCTGCTTGGTAGGGAGCAGCACAGACACCGTCTTGGCCCAAATGTGGTCGAAGTTGATGCCCAGTTCTGCGTATTCAAATAATAAAACACCAATCTTAAGTAAAAAAAAATACTTGGAGATAAATATGCAATCACTCGTCACCTTCCAGAAGCGGTGGCTCGTTGGCGAACTCGTCGTCGCCGCCGTCGTCATCATAATAGCCGGCGTTGGAGCCGACGGTCCCGCTGAGACCATTGGACGAGCCTGGCGCCGGATGAAAGCCTGCTCCGCTGTTGTTGCTGTTCGGGTGTGTGGGCTGCGCGTTCATGGGCGGGTACTCGCCCTCTGGAGCCGTGAACCACGGGCTCATGGCGTTCGGATCCATATTCATGTTCATTTCTGGTCTACGTGGACGAATACGAACTGAGTGAAAATGATTAAATTTGCGAATAAAATATTGAATTTAGAGACCAATGTGGTCCACGCGAACTAGCACACGTCGCAGATCCATTGACTATTTTAATAAGTTAAATTCATAAATATAAAAATTTTAAAATAGAGGCTTTTCAGTAATCCATGCACATGTATTTAAAATTTCACTGATCTCGTAAGTAGATGGTGATGTTTCTCTTACGTATCGCTTGCATGAAACCGATACTGTACTAATGGTCAAAAGTGTCAGTGCTTTATATTTAAATTATCGGGCACATGCACAGATAGACAAGATAAAGATAAATTTAAAGTTTTAAATGATGGTCATATATGTATATTCGAAAAAAAAAATCACGAAGCAAAAAAAAACGAAATAAAAAGCTGTAGCAGTTAATATTGCTTTTCGGTTTATAAGTACTGTACGGAAACAATTCTCGAAATCAAATCTTTTTTTTCAGCAACTTATCAGCTGCCGTTCCAAAACCGAAATACACACGTAATCTTTAACACCTTGCTTACGAACGTCGTATAAGACGACATATTATTTTTGTTACGTCGTATATTACGACATTGCACGAAGGTCATTAGCAAATGGCTCGGAAAAGTTTTTTCAATACTTTAATCAAGTTACCACAAAAATATAATCTGCGAGAGGTCATTTTGCTACAAGTCAAAACCAGGCCAGGGGAAGGGGATCAGCCACGTCGTGAACAGCCACTCATTCGACATTTTGCTGGATGGTGCGCATACGGAATAGTCGACGCGAGAAGCCCGCCGCGCCGGCTGCCGCTACACACGATATTGACTTTGGCCACTTATGGCGGCAGCTTCGGGCGGCGGGGTGGAAGTCCAAGCGTCCGAGTGGCCTCCAGACTGAGTGGAGCTACTCGAGTCCTGACAACACGCACGTCTTCGTGGGGGAGAAATCAGTCGTGGACTACGCGTTCGACAGTGGCTTGCTGGAAGAGGCGGATGCTGATGCTCAAGTCCGAGATGAAGAAGGTGGGGAACTAGACCAAGCAGGAGCTGGTAGTAGTGGTGAAGAGCAACAACACGAGGGGGAAGACGTCGTTCGGCCTTCCCAGATCGACACGAGTGTCCTTCTTTCGCAGCATACCATTGATCGAATGTTCGGCACCCCAAGTGATGATGACATCGAGCTGTCGCAGACTGCAGTGAGCAGAGCATTCAATCTATCCTCAGAAAATCTACAAGACGGCGGTGCCCGCGAGGCCGCTGCTGGACTGCATTTACTTTCGGAGGCTTCTGGATTAGAGAGCGAGGGTGATGTAGACGAAGAAGAAGCCGCTGCGTCTCAACCTCGACGACGGACACTTACGCCGTTATCAGGCAAAGAGGACGTGAATGTTTTGCTGGATGGGGAGAAGCCGAGTGACTACGAGAACTACAGCTCGGGTGATAGCGACGACGACGGCATGAGTGATATTAACAGCGATTCCGGAGCCGGGATGTCCGAGGAAGATGACGACGTCCTGTCCGACAGTGACGCAGTTGAAATGGACAAGGCTTTCATTGCGGCACTACAGGTGGGCAATAACGCACTTAGCAGAACCGCTGCAATGGAGAGAGAGCAGACACTACGAGGAATGCAGTGGACGCCAGTGTCTTCGGAGTACGAGACAGATGCTGCTGCGTACCCTGGACTGGGCACCGAAGAAGCAAGGCCTGTGCCCGACCTGCTGCAATTATGGAGATCGCCAATCCTCACCTTCTTTTATTTCATGCCGAAGTCTCTGTGGGTTTCTATCGCGGCTGAAACGAACCGATATGGTCTACAGCAAGCTGGCAAGCGCGCCCGTAACATTCAGGCACGGCAGACTGACCTTCGGCGTGAAACTATCAAGCAGATTACACGTCGTTTGAAGGCTAAGGCAGCATACTCTACACACGAGATTCTTCACGTTGTTGGACTCCTCGTTGCACGGATGCTCTGCCCTCAAAAGAAACGATTTGGTGCGCACTGGAGTATGGTGGAAGACGGTGCTGTTCCCGCCGGTCTTTTCGGGCGGTTCATGACGCGTGACAGGTGCCAGAGTATCATGCGAGACTTGCACTTCGTAGACAACACGATTGACCACGGTAACGATAAACTCTGGAAACTTCGCCCCGTTGTTGACAAGGTCCAAGAGCGCTTTTTGCTGGGGTGGTCTCTTTCTGCTATTTTTTCGTTTGATGAGGGTATACTGCCGTCCACGTCGAAGCGGAACACGACCCGGATGTTCATGGCCGACAAGCCTCACCGCTACGGGTCCAAACTATTTATGGTCTGTGACGCGCAGACGGCATACTGCCACAGGTACGTTTAAAATTTGTATGTCGTAACTATCTACTTTGTGTTTGCCTGACAACAGTGAATGTCGTAACTATCTAGGTTCGAAGTTTATGTGGGTAAGCGTGCATCTGCAGGTGGACCTGACACCTCAGTTGACTTTAAGACTGGAGCTGCAGCCGTGGTCCGGAATTTGAAGATTGTTCTCGCCCAGTCTCGTCACAAGTGGCATACCGTCGTGATCGATCGCTACTACTCGTCCGTGCTCCTTGCGATTGAGCTTCTGAGTATGAAGGTGTATGTTATTGGCACGATCATGACTAACCGGCTTGGATTCAACCCGAATCTCAGGGCTACGAGCAAGACACGCCCAGTGAGCATACCCACGTTACATTCTCGTTCTCTCGCTCTATCTCCATCCCGACCATGATTTCCTGTGTTTGGTGGGACCGGAAGCCCGTCTATTATCTCTGTACGGGCTCCATTATGGCGGCGTCGACAATTGAGCGAAAAATAAAACGTATCGGTGCGGTTCGAGTGCCGTGCCCCTCTGCTGTAAATGACTACCAGAACTGGATGAGCGGAGTTGATGTCCACGATCAACTCCGTCTCCAGTCGTATTCACTGCAAATGTCGACGAGGTTCACGAAATATTATAAGAGCCTATTCTTAGGTTTGCTGGACATGGTCATGGTAAATGCGTATCTTACGCACAAAGAGGGGGCCAAGATCAAGGGGATGGCTGCTATGAAGCGCTCAGAGTGGTTTTGCGTCCTTCAAAATCAACTTCTCCAACTCAAAGCCGAAGATTTTGCTGGAGTGGAGGCAACACCGCCTCCTGCGAGCCAAAAGCGCCAGCGCACCCCAGTACGCCTCACGCACGCGCTGCAGCAGTCTGAAGATTGGGTTACCGTTACTGGGGTCCAGAAACGCCGGCAGAGATCGTGCAAGGTCTGCGCGCTCTTGCGTACTGAAAAGAAGAAGTCCTTCGCAACAACGTTCTTTTGCGAACGCTGCTCCGTTGATAATGCGAAATGCTGGTTGTGCAACCGTATTCGACGGGAATACAAGGGCGTTGCGAAGACATGCTATGATATCTGGCATGATGACTTCGACGCCGGGCAAGCTATCCCACCAAACTTAGGGAAGCGCATTGTGCTCCGTCGGCCCGGCCAGAAAGCTGGCCAAAGAAAGAAGACGCGACGGGAACTTCGACTTGGGCACGATGCTGGCAGCGACGACGGCAACGGTGGTGACAACGAGAATGGTAGTGATGACGAGTGAGCTTGGTTGCGTGTCAGTTGATTAGTGATTTGTTTCAAATACACAGCTTCTTGAACCATCGTACCTTCGTCCTTGCGTTTCTTGATTTAAGTGGACTGCCTGTGAAGCAATTTAGCCATCTGTTGACTGCACTTGCAGTCAGTTACGACATTGAGCAGGCAATACTGTCGCTGAATCCCGTCAGAGTTACGACATTGAAAGAAAAACCTGTTGAAAATTAATGCACCTAACCTCACGTCAAAAAGTGCACCCATACAAATACGTAGTAACATTGATATACCGTATCTTACGACATGCGCTTACGCGTTCTGGGCAAGTACCGTCCGGACGCAAGGTGTTAATAATAGGCAGTAGCGCTCCGAAACAGTAGCGAACACCGTGAAAGAAAAGTTTGGTGTGAAATAACAAAGCAGCCAGACCAAGCGAAACATACCAAGACATTCCCAATACTTAGGTGAGAAACAGTAGACGCCTGTACGATTACGCTTAGATAGAATTACATGTACCATGATAAACTGATTCGATTATGGAAATGACTGGATAACCGATTATCCGACACGAGTACGCACTGCAAGAAGCAATCGTCTACAGAATACAACTATATCTAACAGACTTGGTAGTTAGTGTGCTCATATATACAATGGGACTTTTTCCTTAGCTGTCACATATAGCTTGTAGTCTTCTCCCTCACGGTATTCGACCTCTGTGCTGGGAGCTCGCTTCATTCTCTCCCTGTCCTCAGTGACCACAGTTCGGAGCTCCGACCTTGAGGGCGTTGCTCCTGGGTCAGCAAAACTGGCGTGAGGGATAGATGGAGCTTGTTTGCGGTAGTTCTGTAAAGTACGAATGCTTGGCAACAGAGGGAAAACTTTGCGCTCATGGTAGTGCTGGCGTCGGAGGCAGCGTTCTGCGGATAAATCTGGTTCTCTTGAGTATGACGTTTCAAAGGAAGAGAACCTTTCGTTGGCGTTTAAAAGTGCTGAAAAGCCCAAAGCTCGGGGCGAGCTACCTGTTGGAATCTCATGATCGACCGATCTGACAGGAGATGGTGTCGCTATGTCCTTGTACAAGTGTGCACTTGGTACACGAGGCTCCGACGATGATTTCCTTGTGGCTTCACACCCTTTTAGTCTGCTGCTCCAGTGAGCCTTATTCACCCGGTCTTCACCATACTGGGTTGTCCTTGTTAGCCCATTGGCCGCCGCTGGCTGCATCGATACGTCAGCTTTATGCTCGGAGCACATTCCTCCACGTACAGCACGCTTGAAACAATACTCGAGGAGGCAAATCGAGGATCCTCCATGGTGCTGACAATAATCGTTTGCCATCGACCGTTTGTTGCAGTTGTCAAAGACACATCTGCGGTAGCCACCGTGGCCCACACAGAGTCCTTCGTACTGCACGACTTTGTTGCATCTGTCGATACGACAGCGCTTGCCTCCTCCTGAAAAATAAAATTTAGCATAAAGAGATC